ACCTCCCAACCACATGGTCAACTGGTCTGCGGATGAATGGGGCTCAGGTTGGAGGGACCCCTGTAATCACGGGATGTTTTTGGAAGACAGTTTTGGAACGTATGGACCGGAAACTTGATGAACACATCTTTTAACATTTGACATGAACTTTTGGCTTATCTGCATATTACAGATATAGATATAGCTTCATATTATATATTGCCTACCTGCTGATTACTTATACCTTTCATGAACTTGGCATAATACCATAAATCTATATCATAATTCCTTTGAAACTACCAGATTCATGCAAATGACGATCTGTTATAGTTTGTTTGTGAACTGTTTTCACCAGCTGCTGTCATTACTAATGCCCTAAAATGGCTTATGTTGAACTTATGCGTTTGTATCATATGCTTACTGTGATCTTGTGCAGATCAGTGGGTGAATGTTGTTATATGCCGCAGTGAGCAATATTTCCGCTGCAGCCTGTATGCGAGTCATACCAGTAGTTGATGACATGAGCAACTAGCATACTACTAATTATAATGGTGGGCAATAGGATCAGCTACATACTGTAAATACCCAACCAGCTGTTGGTGTCATTAGTGATCAACCAAGTCCAGGGACTAGATTTTCGAAGCTCTCTTAGCGCCAAGATAGTCGTAAGTGCCATACATTAACATTAACTTACGACTATCTTAGCGCTAAGAGAGCTTCGAAAATCTATTCCCAGGTGTGTATGTATGGGTGTGGGGAAGGGGGAAAGAGGGAGGCAGAGAAGAGGGAAAGAAGGTTGCGATGGGGGGTCCTGGGATTTTGTATTGAGAAAACATCTTTATCTCCTGAAAAGCCAGACATTGTTTTAATTGAAATGATTATTTTATAAAAAATATATGCAACAATGTATTTTTTTAGTCAGTCGATTTACTTTTTGTTACCAGATTGAATGATAATGTTTTTGAAACAGTTTCTTGGACAATATATTTGTTTACCCAACCCTAATCACCTAAATATCAAATGGTCAATCCATTACAAGTGTCACAGCTACTGTTACAGATACCATTAACAATCCAGGAAAACCAAGGTCTATGGATAGTCAACTTCTTTATTGCAATGAGTGGACGTTTTGGTGTAGGCACTAACACCCTTATCAAGCAAGTGATACAAAGAGTTGTAACATGGAGAATAACTGCATAGTGTGTATATACAATTGACAAGGTTTATATATATTGCATTACTAATTAGTGATGAGAGCAGAGTGGGTTGATGTACAGAGTGATAGTGTTTAAAACAATATGCAAAATGAGTTTATACAATAGATGAGTTGATGTACACTGAGATGGTAATGTGAATTGAAGAGAGTAGGTTGATGTACACATTGATTGCTCATGTTTACAATGCACAAAGGGGAGCATAGAAGCCATTTGGACGAAGTATGGGTTGATTACTGGTGATCTTTAATTTGTTGGTGATAGGCTGAGGAGATAAAATAACCTTGATCCCGGTTCATGGTGGGGTTGAAGTGTTGAATTTTTATCTCTTCAAGAATGCAATGCAATGTATATCGACCTTGTCAATTGTATATACACACTATGCAGTTATTCTACATCTTACAACTGTTTGTATCACATGCTTGATAACGGTGTTAGTACCTACACCGAAACGCCCCACTCATTGCAATAAAGAACTTGACTATCCATAGAACTTGGTTTTCCTTCATCTATACAACTTCTAAAAATGCCTCTCAAAGAAGTTACATTAGCAACTTGACTTCAAAGGCCAGCTCATGTCCAAGTACAACAATGAATGCCATCACTCATCCTCGTATTGTCAATTTACTTGTTTTGTTTTTTATTCATATTTTTATACTAATAAAACATAAAACAATGTGTAGTTTTGGTTTCATATTTTTTAATTAATATCAGTTTATGAAATGGGCAAATATATTTCCACCTCTAAAATCAACCATATAAGTGGATGCAAACAGTCGGTGGTACCACAAGCTCTGGTAGGAATAAACAATGTCTTTAAGAAAAACTTTAAATGTAAAAATAACAGAACAACAGAGGCCACAATAATATTTGTATGTCATACAACCAGATCTGATAATCATATTTGTGTGTTATACAACAAAATGTCACAAACATATTTGTAATTGTATCTTATTTATATGTCATACAAGATCCCCCAAATAAATGTCTTCTATTTGTGTGTTATACAACATAATCCTGCAAATGTATTGGCAATTGTATCCTATTTGTATGTCATACAAGATCCCCCAAATGCATTTGTAATTGTATCTGTACATAATACAACCAGACCTCATTCTATCTGCATAGTGTACTGCCACGTCTCTCATTCCCTTTGGGGCAGTGGGGTAGCCTCGTGGTCAAAGTGTTTGCTCGTCCCACCGAAGACCTGGGTTCGATTCCCCACATCGGTACACTGTGTGAAGCCCATTTCTGGTGTCCCCGTCGTGATATTGCTGGAATATTGCTAAACACGGCGTAAAACTAAACTCACTCACTAATATTCCTTTTTCCATATTGTATGATTATATTTGTATATTCTGCTGTCATATCTCTCTGAACTTACTAAAATGATTGGGATCATTCATTGTTTAAATGATGCAACACCAGACTTTTAGATGTATCACAGTTTATTCCATGGAATGTACACATCTTGAAAAACACTCCTACAAAACCTATTACAAATGTATAAAATACACATGTTCGGAGATGACTAATTTTAAGCCCCAAAACGAAAGCATACAAAAATATTCTTGAGTGGATTTGCCGATAGAAGTATTACAAACCCTCAATCCAAGGACTAATTGAGTGACCATCACCATTCATGTCATTTTTATATACATTACGGTATTGCAAAACATCCAGTACAAATACTGAGAGTTATGTGTTAAAGGCTGAGTGAGTTCCAGTCATACAAATTACATCCTCTACAGCATAACATGGACATCATGAGGGCCATCACACATTTGGGATTAAACCCAGACCATACACACGCTGAGCTAACACCTTCACCACTTACCCCACCCCACTTGCCAGCTTGTCGGAGGGGAGATGGTACCTTTGTACAGATTAAGTAATAGAAGCAATTCGGCAGAGAGGTCAGTTAAGTACAAACATTTGCAACAAGATACTAGCAACATCATAAGCACGAGAAAGGAATCTACCTCTTAGACATACAGGCCTGAAATGAAGTTATCATATGTATAAATGTATATCTACAAAATGAAAACAATAACCCAAATGGAGCCCAGAACAATGCTAACTTTCAGGACTTGGTCAGTTATTCTAGACTGAGATGGCCAACCTTTGTAAGATACTCTCTCAGTCAGGGAGACAGACCAGGGTTCATTTGACTATATCCAGGCTGTAAATTACAGGTAGTGCAGGTAACTATCATTGCCAGGCAGGTAAATTACAGGTAGTGCAGGTAACTATCATCGTCAGGCAGGTAAATGACAGGTAGTGCAGGTAACTTTTGTTGTCAGGCAGGTAAATTACAGGTAGAGCAGGTAACTATCATTGTCAGGCAGGTAAATTACAGGTAGTTCAGGTAACTTTTGTTGTCAGGTAGGTAAATTACAGGTAGTGCAGGTAACTATCTTTGTCAGACTAAATCCAGGTCACATGTTCCATCACAGCTGCAGTATTATTGGAATAAACTTCCCATAACAATTTCCAGAAATAATAAGGTACACAAGTCTGCTTTCCTGCATACGAATCAGTAGCTTGACCTAACACTGGGTACATGAAAGGTCAGTGGTCACTGTGTTAACAAGTCACTTGTAACGGTAACTTGACAATTTACCGACTGTGATCAAACAGAAAAGAAATTCAATTAAGAATAAAGATGTCATTTAAAAAGCAACCATCTGTCAAACAAGTCCTCCAGACATGCAGTATTGTGAGCTGTCCTGAAGACAGCGCTCGAAATTGACGTCGGTCCTTAGGCCCGAAGCCGAGTGAAAACCACTCGGACCCACAGCTTTTGTTTTCTGCAGGTCCTTATGGCCGACAGCTTTTTCATTCCCAATAACTAAGAGTATTATTTTTCAGAAAATATCATTCAGTGATTTCTAGTTTTTATCTCAATCAGCAGCTGTTGTCTGTAAGTGAAATTTACTTAGTTTGTTAGCTGTCACATTTTTTGTTTGCTGGCAATTACTTACATTAATTTGTAGCTGAAACAAGGCCTACACATTCTGATCAGGACCCACAACTTTTTGTGGTTCTGGGTCCTTGGGGCCTGCAGTTTTTCAGGGTTAAGGTCAAACACTGACTGAAGATGGTGAAGTGGGCTTCTCAGTCTGCTGCGAAGTTATTGTTTGCTGTCAGTTACAGTGTTAAGATTGTTGGTAACATGGACTGCACGGTATTACTGCACAGAAGAATGGCCTGCTACACCGGTACACCAGTATATCACAATACTCTTTCAAACAATACGTACTGCAATATTTTTTCTGAGAACAGTATGTTGGGTAAAGAACATATAGGAAGTTTTTGTTTGTGTGACTCACTGTCAAACACTTAAGTTCCCAATATATCACAATACGGGTACCTGAATATCACAATTTATTGCAATACAATTTATTTAATTTATTTAACCTTCATTCTACCACTCGCCCTAAAAGAAATAGAACCTGCTGATGCTTTCAAAACTGCCCTCAAAACTCATCTGTTCAAACTCTCTTTTCCATAGACATTGTCTACAATCTTTTCTCTTTCTAGAGCCATTGAGCAATATCTTTTGGAAATAGGCGCTCTATAAATCAATTATTATTATTATTTACCAATACACAGCCCTATTGGTAACACGGTGCAAGCAATATTTGATGGTGCAACCTGATTGCAACTTGGTTGTGCCCTAGAGCAAGTAAAGAAACATAATGAAATTGTACCCTACTGTCTATCTACCTCTCTACCAGTGCACCATGGTAATATAATAGTCAACTGATTGAGTTGATTTTAAAACTTAGAGGAACTTGTTTTTTGAACCTCGAGATACATTTGTGATTTTTGAGTATTACACAGGTAATAACAAGCTTCTTGACAGTAAATGACACTCATATGTACCAAGGTGTTTTCAGTGTAATTAATATTTCATGAGAAACAAGCTACTTCAAGTGTTACCCTTTCATGGAAATCACATATATCCCTTGGCTGATCTGTGGAAGTGGAAGTAGAATGTCATCTTTAAGCCTGACGAGATGAAAAATGGTGTTGTAAAATTTATTACAAAAATATCCTTCTTTATAGTGATGAAAATCTTGCACACATTTGTGATCTTACGAGAGCCTCAAAGTCTCCATTCCACATCTCCACCAACCAATAAAATTGTATCGTCATACATGACGAAGTTAGGGCAATTTGGGGGTGATGTATTTACAACCTCATGCTCATTAAGCAAGAGCCCGCCCCCATTGTCTTGCTTGCAATTTAGAGAAGGCAGTATTTCTGTCAAACTTTCTTGGGAACTGGGAAAAGAACTTGGACTTAGTTTCTGACCGATACTTCTGGTGGAATTTGGCAGCTAGATCCACGGAACTTCCTGTAATAAATTCCAGAAGTAAGAATTAGAGAGTTGTGTTCTTCAATATTACATCAGGATGTCTGTAATATACACTGGACCAGACAAACCATTCTTGATAGCATGAATATACAGGTAGACTACAGACAAGAAAACATATGGCATACTGCAACTTGGATGGTGAGTACAATCTCTGCTAGAATCATGGCTTTAGGTAGCTTGGGAACACATGGTAAAAACCTGATCCCAGTCTGCACTTGACAAGCACATGGGAAGTAATACTTGCTCTGCCTGGGATACAGAATTTGGGTGAGCTGCCTATACAAGATCAGGTGAGCTGCCTGTACAAGCTCAGGTGAGCTACCTGTACAAGATCAGGTGAGCTACCTACACAAGATCAGGTGAGCTGCCTATACAAGATCAGGTGAGCTACCTATACAATATGAGATGAGCTGCCTATACAAGATCAGGTGAGCTGCCTGTACAAGATCAGGTGAGCTGCCTATACAAGATCAGCTGAGCTACCTGTACAATATGAGATGAGCTGCCTGCACAAGATCAGGTGAGCTGCCTATACAAGATCAGGTGAGCTGCCTATACAAGATCAGGTGAGCTGCCTGTACAAGATCAGGTGAGCTACCTATACAATATCAGGTGAGCTACCTACACAAGATCAGGCGAGCTGCCTGTACAAGATCAGGTGAGCTACCTATACAATATCAGGTGAGCTACCTACACAAGATCAGGTGAGCTGCCTGTACAAGATCAGGTGAGCTGCCTGTACAAGATCAGGTGAGCTGCCTATACAAGATCAGGTGAGCTGCCTGTACAAGATCAGGTGAGCTGCCTGTACAAGATCAGGTGAGCTGCCTGTACAAGATCAGGTGAGCTACCTATACAAGATCAGGTGAGCTGCCTGTACAAGATCAGGTGAGTTGCCTATAGAAGATAAGGTGAGCTACCTATACAATATAAGATGAGCTGCCTGTAAACGTAGCTCAGGTGAGCTACCTACACAAGAGTGTTACTGAATATGCAGTGTATACATACCTGTAACAGTGGTAGGGAAGGATGTGTATACATACCTGTATCAGTGGTAGGGAAGGATGTGTATACATACCTGTATCAGTGGTAGGGAAGGATGTGTATACATATCTGTATCAATGGTAGGGAAGGATGTGTATACATACCTGTAACAGTGGTAGGGAAGGATGTGTGGTCATTGGAGAATGGAAGCTCCACCGTGGAGAATGCTGCCTGGTCGTACTCCACATTGTTGAAAGGTTTGCCCTAAAATCATTTAAGAAAGAAAGGATTGCAACAAATGCTTTCATAGCAATAGAATTCATGTTGCTTTGGAATGAAGGGTGGTCAAATGATTGTAATCAACCACGGGTTAATAGCCCATCTGTGGGCTGTATTGCTTGACCTCAAATACCCCACCTCAAACATATAACCTAATTTATATCACGCTAGGTGTGATACCCATACGGAACAAACACATTAGCCTACTTTTTACTCACAGTTTTAGTGGAGTTGACTAAACTATCAACAAACAGCTGCCATCTTGGTTTGTAGTACCTGCAACAAGTAAATGATTAAGAATGATGACAATTTTTTTATAGATATACAACTTCTTTCTTCATCAACTGAACTTCTAAAATGCCCATCAAAGAAGTAAATGATTATGAACCAGCACCAATCTCAGCTTCAAACCAGTGATCATCAGATCCTTGTACTACAAAGGGACACAACTCTGCACATTTTACATTGCATCACAAGAGAAATCCTGACACCCCTCTCATGTATTCCAAGGTGATTTTCTACATGGGTGTTCTATTAGAAATAAATGCAGGTATGAGATATTTTAGTACCAAAGAATCATTTGATACTTGTTCCAAACTGACACCACTTCCAAGATGGAACCCCGACCGCGTCATACCAAAAGACGTTAAAATATGGTACTTGTTGGTCCCTGCCTGGCGCTCGGCATTAATGGGTACAACAAGGACTGGTCGGCTCGGAGTCAGTATAATGTGTCTGAGTGGGGTATTCATGCTTCACTGCGGCATGGTATCTCAGTGGGCTAGCACTATAAAACCAGCTTAAGTCTGGGCTAGTACAAGCAGCCGCACATACACATACACACACATGCACGTCTTCATATGAGTGAAATATTCTCAAGCACAACGTTAAACCCAATTTCACCTCAGCTCACTTCCAAGATGGAAAGTCCACATTCTGTAGTAATCTGTAGTAACACGACAGACCTATGACTTACTTGTTTATCAGGCCAGACCACTGTTTGGCTGCATAGTCCCTGATCTGCAACACAATACAGTATAGAGAGTGGGTGAGTGAATTTTACGCCACTTTTAGCAATATTCCAGCAATATCACAGCAGGAGGACACAAAAATTAGCGTGTTTCAGAAAGACAATATGGTGTTTAGAGCTCTGAAAAATTGCAGTAAGTTAAATGTCAATAACTGACTTGTCTGTGTTGTAACAATAACCAACCAACAACCATTTATCACAAAGTAAATAATGTTTTAACACTTTGATAACATGGTTCTCATTGGTCAGAATAAAGTCTCTGTTGAAAGCTTTATATATACATGGTGCATTGATAATTTGCTTTCATGAGATTGTATGCATGTGAATCATTTGTGTAATAAAAAATGACAGCCACAATCTGTAATGGGACAAGCATGATCTCATAGCTTGGGGCTAAAAATCGTAACTATGATACAAAAAAGGGGATTGCCATCTCTGCCCTACTCTGTTTCTCACCTGTCCAGTCGGGCCCCACAACGTCACCTGATTCCGTGAGTTGAGATCGTACAAGATTGTATCATTTACATCAAGAGAAAACTTCCGAGCCGCTTCAGTCCATTTGCCCAACAGGAAGTGACCATCAGAGGCAAGAAGTGTGTCAAGGTCACTCAGAAGGTCAATCATCTTCTGGCCTGCTATTCTGTGAACAGAGTGCGATCATGTTGTTATTATTATTATATATCCAGCTCAACTGCTCAAAAAGGCGTTTTGTTTTTGCCTCTATAATTTGATATCAATCTCAAGCGGCACATCGTATTATCAATCTCAACTCCCTGGGCATCATACAACTCTTGCAGCCACTAGGCGCACTGAGTTAATGTGGTTTTCCCATCCTTATGAGGTACCCATTCACACCTGGGTGGACTGGGACACATAGTCACAGTACTTTGTCCAAGTTGCTGTACCCCCAACTAGGTGTTTGCATGTATTCATGTGGCCACCATCTGGTCATAAGCCAACGGATTCGTGGGTTCTTTTAAGTGCACTGGGTTGTGTACTGTACACCAGGGGTTGTGACAACACTGAAAGAGTCTGCACACAAGGTTGACTCCAAGGTTTTTACACCCTGTCATAGGTGGGCTTGTTCCAGTCACCTCAAGTTCGCTGGATCACTAGCCTGGTGCCTTAGACAGCTTGCCTACCACGTTATGAAACACAGTTGATGTCAATACAATGTAAAAGGAATATTGTTGTCAAGAGAAAGTAGAGTATATCACTGTGTATACAACAACATGTAATGCTACTTACCTGTGAACGGTTCATTGTAACTGTTATCTGTAATGGATGTCTTTGTTTTCAAATTTCAAAAACTGAGTTAGGATTCGGTTGTGACCACAAAGAACCACTTACTGGAGCTGTGAGGTGTTGGTTGTGTTGTAGGCGGCGATGATGTCGTGGTAGTACATGGAGGAGAGGATCTGTAGGCTGTTGCGGGTCACATCCACAAGGTCATACCTGCAGTAGTAACCATAGTAACTGGTGTTATATAACTGTCATATGTAATGCATACGAATGGAGGAAATGGAGTGGATGGAGGTGTAGGACCAGGGGAGACAGAGCGATTCAAAGATGGAAAGATGGGGAGAGATATATGCAAAGATGAGAGTCATGGAATCACAGAGATATTCAAACATGGAAAGATAGGGAGAGAAATTCAAAGAAGGAAAGACAAGGAGAGAAAGAGATATTAGAAAATGAGAGGGGTATGGAAAGACAGAGAGATTAAATGAAGACAGAGACAGATTCAAAGACAAGACAGGGAGACACAGAGAGATTCTAAGATAAAAGAGTCAAAGTAAAACTCATTGGTTTGGGTATCAGTCTGATGGCCAGCACATCCTGCCACAGCTAAGCTGTGCAACTGGGCACAAACTTAACCACTGGGTCACCTATGCACCAACAGCTAATCACAAGAGTGACAGAGTGATCCCCACAACTATATTTACAAAAATGTCTGCCATGTCAAATACCATTTATTTAAAAAAGTGAACTAACTAAAATAAATGGTATTTAATTTCAATTTATTTCAGTTGAATAAACAACAGGAAATTTTTACATAATCATGACTAATTTTTAGTCATCAATAGTTAATAAATTACAATATTTTATGGACATTTAATGTGTGGAACATCCTATTGTGAGAAGTCTCCTGTTAGGGATGTAAGGACCTACGTGAACAGGGAGTTGTTCCCTAGTGCTGGAGTCTTTGAGGCCAGGACCATGTTGTCCCATGCCTGGTACAGCTGCTCTGGATCATACCATATCTAATAATCATCAAAATAAAAATAATGAATATATCTCATAATCATCAAAATAAGAATAATTAATACATCTAAAAATCATCCAAATAAAATAACCATTAGTACTGAATTATTTTCTAAAATGTTTAATTTCTGTTCTGTACAACACTGATCATAGTCTTCTGTTCTTAAATTTTTACAATATTCATAAATAATATTTTCAATTTATAAGAAAGTAATGTTGAAAGTTAATAATTAAATTAAATGTTTGTTTCAAGTGAACCACGTCAGGTAATTCGCAAGACTATTAACATCTGAAAGTAAATATTAATTCTTATAACAAATCTTCTTAGCATAACCATTCACAAACACAAAATTCATATTGATGTTATTGTTAAACATACCAAGTCACTATGGACCAGGACATGCAGTTAAAACAAACAGACACTGACACAGGGGCAGAAAAGTGAGAGAGAGGGAAGAGACATAAGAGAGACAGATGGGGGAGACATGCCAAGGAGGCTAACACCAACATTATACAGCACCACAGACAACCGTGAACAAAAACATTGTATTCAGTTTTCTTCTCAGTCAGTTTTTCAAGTATTTAGAGTTTGATTTTGTAACATTATATACTGAAAGGCAAAAGAAACATCATAATCGGTTAACGAGAGATCAACGACAACGAGCCATTGGATGTCTAGACGTTGGTCAATGTGGTCGAGTCTTTGCTAATGTAATATTGCAGCTTACGAACGATAGAATGTCTTAGACAGTGATACAACGTCACCAACAGCATTGATGACTATCCACGTAGTAGTCGACCCCGTGTAACAACCCATCGCCAGGACCGTCATATCGTCCATCAACACCTCTCGTTATACTAGCCATTGCTGTGTTCAGAAAACAAGTGAACGATTGCCATTCAAGCCGGCAATTTATGCCTGAATGCATGCATGATGCAAGTGCATCTGATTTCAATGTTGTGAAATACTCCATTGATACTTAAATGTCATTTCCAATATTACGAAGTTTCTTTTGCCTTTCAGTATACAACATATTTGTATTAAGTTTTGTGTAGTCATGGAATGGTGTCAAAACTTGTGTTAGCATGATTTGTTTGTTTGTATTTACTATTTGTTCTTGTTGATTGATGGACAAGTTGACTCAAAATTCAATACCTACGATTAAGGTTGGAACAAAATATTCTTTGAACAAAAATTTAAAAAGGCCATAAGAGGAAGGGAGGTAAGCCATGTACCTCTTTAAATTTTCTTATTTACATCGCCTCAACAAAAAATCTAACTATACAATGAATAAATTGTGCTGTGAATTTTCATTTTTCAATTTTTTAACTGACCATGATAAAAAACACGCCTGGAATGTGTCAAATGAAAATTACAGGAATATATGCACAATCAGCGAGAACAAACAGCCAAAAACAACAGTTGCTCACAGGACGACAATCCAAATAATCCTAAAAATATTCAATCCATTTTAACAACTTAGTAACTATGGTGACTCTAAAATAATTATTTTTATAAAAAAGATCACAGTTTGACCATAGAAACTGACAAGGAATTGAATAGGCGGAACAAAATAGGCGGAACAAAATAGGCGGAATGTATTTTGTTTGTCTACTTACAAACTCCTTCATCGCCACAGAAGGTCTTCTGGTGTACAGGACACCGTTAAAGTCCATGTGGCCACTGGTGGAGTTGTACACACTGGTCTGTGTTTTAATGCACGTGCATATATAGAGGGTCAATATATCAGGCACATACACAGGTGTGACTTGTCATTGAAATCAGATCTTTCACTCCCATACAAATAATTTATTACAATACCTCTCTAGGTGAACATCTGAGGTCATTTTCACAGGAGGTTGGTTCAAGTGAACCCCAGTGAATTTGACAGCCCAATGTTAATAAGGGATATTTGGTTCTTGATTCAATCAGACGTCAACTTCCTAAAATGATTGGGCTTCATTTCTTGATTTGGAAATTTGATTTTTACAAATTGAATCCAACACAGAGAAAAAAAATATTCATCAGGTTGTTTGTCCTGTTGGTTGTAGATGACATGGTGTAGAAAATATCCACATCTATATGAAGGCATGGTGTTAGTTATTTACATTTTGAAACTGCTGTTTTACTTCATATTTAAGATGCAGGACTCCAAAATCCTGGCCTGAAAGCTTCGCTCACTCATACAGAAATTCAGTTACATCATCATGGCCTGACTGATCTCGAAGAACACATGAAGTGACCTCCATGAAGCTATCCTCAGATGCTTACACAGAGAGGTACCGCAGCAGAGTAACAGACCTGATTTTAATGAGTTTGAGGCTGGTTACAGTGGCCGTGACATGTGTAGTGATACAGAAGTACGATACATGATCTCACACAAAGAGCAACATATCACACAACCAACATCAATTTTGGCAAACCATGCTCAATGATACACAACCCAACTGCCACAGATTATGAAAGTTACAATGGTGATCCAGAACCTGACCATTGGACAAGATAAGGTAGATGGCGGAGTTTTAACTGATAAAAATGGTCTGGTTTATTAGGTATTTGGATTAATCAAACCAAGAAGACTCTGGAATGTTGAGAATTCTAGTAATGATTCACCCATCCCATTCAAAGTGATGAAATTACTTTATTTAAGCTGTGTACTTATGATGAGGAGTAGTGTCCTGCAAGGATCATGATTTGCCATGAGATCTGACCGCTAGTCAACTGCTGGTCACCATGATAGAAGGTCATCATGATAGAAGGTCATCATGATACAAGGTCACCATGATACAAGGTCACCATGATACAAGGTCACCATGATACAAGGTCATCATGAATCAATGCTTTCAGGATAAAATTGTTTTTCCAAAATCTTTTTTTTTAACTTAAGTTTTAAGTGGACATATATTTTGTTCAGAAGATATCTACCCCAAAGTCAAATACTTTGTATATTTTTTTTATAATGTGTTCGTCTGGAAACCTCTGAAGCATAGATCCATCATGGCTACTGCCATCCAGATATGCAGGGTTCTATACATGGATACAGGGAAAATTTTGTGAGGTGACATGTGCACATGGGGAGGTGCAGCACAAATAGAGCGGAGATACAAGGGGAAACAACCCATCTAACATCAACAAAGGGAGACAACTACAGAACAAGGACAGGTAGTCTTGATACAGAAGATCACAACAAGCTGCATAAAGCATCAACACTAGGCATGCTACTACGCGTGTCATCAAGGGGGATAACTTTGCTCAAGCAAGGGAGATTACTCTTCCTTCACAGTCGGTCCTACTTACATCTGGTGCAAGTTCAGGTACAAGTCTCGGCCGTGTAGTTATAGGGACATTAGTACTGTGCTCCCGATGGATGTCAGAGCAGTTGTATACACTCAACTGACATTAGAAATGGAAAACATGTTGACAAATCAGATTGGAAAAAGACAGCCTTATATTTTAATGAGAATGTTGAGCCTTTCACCAATCAGAGGCAAGAGATGTAATTTTCATCCCCAACAAAATCTAAAGAATAATTCTCCATCTCTTACAATTTCAGACCTGAAGTGCAGACTGTCAGCTATTCAGGGGTCAGTTAATGCCTTTTTTGGGAATATCCCTGGTCCTCCATAAGATGACAACTGATTTTTCACAAGTTAAAGAGAATGATGAGAACTATCGCAATTTGCAATGTTACTTGCCCAGCTCCAATAAGCATCCTGTCCAGTTTCAATTTATAAGTAATATTCATAAGCACTATCAACTATGACTGAAAAGATTGAAACTACATGTATTTCATTGTGTACATTACAAACTATTTACGAGGATTTCAACAATTTTCAAGAAGTTTCATCAAAATCTGAACTGGGTTTTTTAACTACTGTACAGTCCAAAAATGCCTTTTAAAAATCCAGGAGTCCAAGATTCCACTTCCTAAATCACTAATCCTCCACAATCCCTTTCTGGTAAAATGACCAACGCTCAGAGCAGACGCCACATAAAACATAAGACCAAGTGTTGCAGACACAGACAGGGGGAGATCCATACATATAAGGATAGCAGCAGCAGCAGTTAGAACTAAAGCTACAACACACTACATGCTGTACCAACAAAGGGACATAACTCACTGGACAATATGGCCATCTGATGCGCACTTAATAAAATATGAAACAAATTCAACAGTTTTTCTCTTTTGATGCATATTTGTGGTTCCCATCCCTGACTTATTTATCTAATTTGGAAATTTGAACCTTTTTGAAGTCTAAAGGTAAGTTTTTGTTATCAGTACAGTCATTATAAATTAAGTTGACTGTACTGAACAAGCAGCAGCATTTACGTGGCGATCTCAGCACAATAACAATGATGATGATAGAAACTCCTATTTTATAGATAAAGGACACTTTTACTTTTGAAATTGTTTGTAGAACGAGTCCTAGTGTAGTGACATTTTTCATTGTGATTTTAAATCTCTGATTGACCAATCAGAATCAAATATATAATTTAACGAAGACTTTTGTTTAAAATCTCATGTCTTGTGGACTTTTTCCTCTTGAGCCACAATAGAAAAAACAGCTTTGTTTGAGGAAATTTGACAGAAAGTATGTCGCTTTGTACCTATAAAACAAAAAACAAATTCCAAACCATTTAATGGATGGTGTGTAAAAACAAACTGAAATAGTCTGTCTACTCTACTGATATTGCAGGTGTGATATAATGCCGTCATTAACGAATGAATGGATATTTCTTTATGATGAATCAGCGATATCACAGCTGTTTGTGGTGAGATGACAACATCTTTAATGTATGAACTTGTACTGGGAATTTACAAGAGTCACAGTGAATCATTTCCCCCACATGCCGACAGAACAACTACTAAAACAGTCAACTTAATCAAAGCCATACTCGAATGTTGAGTTTCAACCCCGGTCTTCTAACATAGCCATTCTTTCCGTGGAACTTTTCAGTAGTATTATAAGCATAAACACTTTTCTGGGGAAAGATCATAATTATTTCGAAAGCATTTCACAGATTTGTCAAGAGAGTTATCAGAAATGATATAATCTAAATCATAACTATTCAAAGTCTTCTATACAATTTGTAACTGACAAATTGTGTATATTTTCAATGAATGTCTTCTCTCCCCTACCCCCCCAAATAACTGTAATAAGTAACAATAACTGAGTACAGAAGGGACACTTTTTTTCTCTCTAAAATCCCTGTTTGTCTCTGGAAAATTGCTTCTTTCCTCTATTACAAATATGTTGAGGTTTTCATACATTTGACACTAAAGTATCATTTTTTACATCTTTGCATAAATTTATTAATGAAAAGGGAAGTACATTTGCTTTCTAAATGTTCTTATTTCATTTGCCTGACCTTCTTGGATGGATTATAATAACGAAGAGTTTACATATCTGAAGGAGCAATTGACCCGGAACCAGTAATCTGTCAATATAATGTATGCAGTCTTTGGCAGTCTAAGTAAACTTAGGTTCAGTATTATTTGTTACACTGCTATACTGAGTCTAACAAAACCTCGTAGAAGGTCGCCTCAGCTAACCTTTGAGCGAGCTATGACTGTCCAATCAAACGCGAGACGGTCGAACGGATATAACCAATCAGACAATGACTACTATTTAGGGTTTGGCAGGACTTACGGGTCCCTTTCAAAATCACCAATGACTAGTTAAATCATTTCAATTCTTTCAAAATTCGGTTTGAGCTTCTGCGTGATGTGGTTTTGGATTTTCTCTTCCCTGGTCGCTGACACTGATCTCTCAACAAATGAAAATCCGCATAAAACACAGATATTTGACCTGCAGTATATACACTTAGGAGTTTCCGATGATATGGTTACTATTGGCTCATATTTTCGCAAGATTACATCCTAGAATATTGACAAAAATAATACTTTCAGCGACTGTTTACTCACTTTTGTGAATAATGGCATCTTCCATGTGTATCACTCGGAAGCGATCGTGTGGAAAATAGCATCTAGAATCACTCGAGTACAAACATTTCAAGGTAAAAGTTCAAACGGTATGTGCGAATGTTAACTTCACGATTTGGTAAGCTGTGCTCTTATTGGTCAATTGAAAAGGTTAGCTGACGCGACCTTCTACTAGGGTTTGTTGGACTCAGCATAGCAGTGTAAGGAATAATACTGAGCCTAAGTTTACTTAGACTGCAGTCTTTGGCCACTGCAAACCTCTTATAAAGAAAACAAAGCATGTTCAAACTTATACATGTATGTACATGTTATACAAAACATCATAACTTTAAACATTATTAGCATCCAAAAGACAAATACACCCAAATACGCCAAATGAAATGATTGAACGAATGAAAGAAACATGTATGAATTATAATCAACCTCTGCTGAGGCCAGACCAATTTTATTTCTTGTTTTATGGATTTTTGTCCTCAGAAAACCTAAAGGCAGGAGGGAAAATAAAAGAATAAAAAAAATCATGTCAAAGCAAAAACCCACCTGAGTTTTTCAAAGGCATTCATTTTCAAGTTAACACTCGCTGAGGTGCTCGAAGCACTGATTTCTAACACAAATATTGTTAAATAATTCAGTTTAAAGTCAGATACCTGTGTTTTAGTGTCCCAACAAACTGCCTTGCGTAGTCGAAGTCTCGCTCCCATTTATCTTAACATCAGGATTTTGTTTTTCAAGCAGGGATTTTTTTTTTTTATTCTATTCTCAAAAAAAATGACTGACGGATTCGTAAAACAAGAAATAAAATTGGTCTGGCCTGATCCTCATTTGTAAACTTTACTGAATGCCAGGCAAATGTTAAAGATCCTGCATGACACAGTGATTGATTGAACAGTGAGTGAGCTGATCGTACCTTCAGAAGAGACCAGGCCAGAGAGGTGTACTTGTCTCCTCCACCGTATCGCTGTTTCTGGTAGCTGTCGATCCTGGTGAACACACAAAACAAACCTGTTTCCTGCACTGTCAAGACATATTTTACAACTTGTATCCTTATTCTGACACTGCTGCATGGATATTTCTACATAGTATAGTTTCAAGTACGTTAAAGTAGCTTTTAAAAAATGTAGCATTTGTGAAGCAGGATTGTCTCTATGAACAGGTGTTTGATGAAATAGTCTGTACTTAAATGTTTCTTTGAAAGAATAAAGCTGTCAGTAGAGTTTCAAGTTATAACCAAAAACTTGCCCCCAGACAAGAATCATTTCAGTTAGATCTCTGACCAAAGTCAAGACATCTTGGGTTGTTGTGTATTCCGCAAGAAGGACATACAAAAGTCTAGTAGTGTTCATGAAAGTTATGTCAAGGGGAGACAACTTTCCTCCAGATTTATAAGGATATATTATTCATGTCTATTACAAACTATGAGTGAGTGAGTTAAGTTTTAAGCCGCTTTTAGCAATATTCCAGCAATATCACGGTTGGGGAAACCAGTAATGGGCTTCACACATTGTACCCATGTGGGAATCGAAACTGGGCCTTCAGCGTGATGAGCGAACACTTTAACCACTAAGCTACCCCACCGACCCAGTACAAACTATGATAATCATTCGTAAAAATATTCCTGCTATATCATGAGAGCCTGTAAATAATCAAGTCCTGACAAGGCAAACCAGTGGTTGATACTGTGAACACACAATTAAAATCAGGGCCAAAATCCATACTCCATCTAGCTAACTGTAACCTCTCAAAGGTTTAAATGATTCTGAAAACCTCTCCTGCACCAGGACCTAATGGAAGCTTATGCATGACATCAGAGATGGACATAAAATGTTTAAAATGAACTTAATTCCATCTCACCAATCATCCAGATTAACAGGTCCTGGCCTCCACGCCTGTTCGTTCATGAACTCGTACATGACCTCGTTCTGGTTGATGCCCTCTGGGGTGAGACCTGTGCCCACCATGGTGGTGTTAGGGAAGGAGCGGCCCGTGGATGGACCCTGCAAGTCAAAACATTTGTGTCACATAACCTTGGCTGTCAATATGAGAGTTGTTTTACAAAGATTTTTAAAGTTATGCAATCTTACCATGTAATCAATTCAAGAAAACTTAACTGTGGAGTTGTTTGTTAACCGCTGTTGCCATGATCATTCCTATTCACCCAATCGGTGATGTAATATTGAGATTGTTTTTGTTCATAACTAAATAAACCAAGAGTTGCTAATTTTTATAAACATGTTTCATCCCTGCAGAAAATAAAAATTTAAAAGAATGAAATTAGACTTAACACCAAACCATCTGGACACTTTTCCGTGATCTGAAGAACAAAGTGTAGGCCATCTTTGAAGAGAGAGTAAGCCTTGCTCAACATACTATATTCCTCAAAACTGTCATATGTTTGCTTGATGTCAACCAAACTTAATGCTCCTGGTGCCCGATAGATGGCACTGCACTGACCTTGTTGACCTTGTCTAGGGCTCCGTACAGCTCCATGGTGCCCCCGAAGTTGTGCAACATACACCAAATGAATGGCTGACCATAGTAGGACTCTGTGCGGGAGTAGATGGGGTCTAACTCTGATATGAGATCAAGGATGATCATCTTGCCCTGAAAAAAAGATAGACATGGCTAGAGTTAATTCATTCCTGCCCTTTAAGAAGATACGCAGCTTTTACAACAGTTCTGTATGCACAAATAGTTTGGAACTGCCACACCAAAATAACTTAACCATCTTAATTCTGTATGTAAGGTTTGTAACTCAGACCCCTGGACAAAGGACCCAAAAATATGGTGCGTGATCATTAATAGTTAGAAAACATAATTTATTTTGAGAAGGATTTGCTCCAAATTAAGTTTTCTCCAGATTTCCAGACTGATGGGTAGGAAGAAGTATTTGCTTTACTCAGTAAATTTTAGCTCAAGTCAGTACCTAAACATGCCCTTCGACCTTAGCATGCCTTTTCACTTAATTATGCCCTTCCATCTAAATCATGCCCTTCCCTTATCATGGTGTCCATCTAATCATGCCCTTCGACCTAATCATGCCCCTCTTCACCCTAATCATGCCCTGTCCACCTAATCATGCCCTTCAACCTAATCATGCCCGTCCACCTAATCATGCCTGTACCCCTAATCATGCCTGTCCCCCTAATCATGCCTGTCCCCCTAATCATGCCTGTCCACCCTAATCATGCCCTTCCACCTAATCATGCCCTTCCACCTAATCATGCCCGTCCACCTAATCATGCCTGTACCCCTAATCATGCCTGTCCCCCTAATCATGCTTGTCCCCCTAATCATGCCTGTACCCCTAATCATGCCTGTACCCCTAATCATGCCCGTCCACCTAATCATGCCTGTCCCCTAATCATGCCTGTACACCTAATCATGCCTGTCCCCCTAATCATGCCTGTCCACCTAATCATGCCTGTCCCCTAATCATGCCTGTCCCCTAATCATGCCCTTCCACCTAATCATGCCTGTCCCCTAATCATGCCTGTCCCCTAATCATGCCTGTCCACCTAATCATGCCCTGTCCCACCTAATCATGCCCTTCCACCTAATCATGCCCGTCGACCTAATCATGCCCGTGCCCCTAATCATGCCTGTCCCCTAATCATGCCTGTACCCCTAATCATGCCCTTCAACCTAATCATGCCCGTCCACCTAATCATGCCCGTCCACCTAATCATGCCCTTCCACCTAATCATGCCCTTCGACCTAATCATGCCTGTTCCCTAATCATGCCTGTCCCCTAATCATGCCCTGTCCCCCTAATCATGCCTGTCCCCTAATCATGCCTGTCCCCTAATCATGCCTGTCCCCTTAATCATGCCTGTCCCCTAATCATGCCTGTCCCCCTAATCATGCCTGTACACCTAATCATGCCTGTCCCCTAATCATGCCTGTCACCCTAATCATGCCTGTCCCCTAATCATGCCTGTCCCCTAATCATGCCCTTCCACCTAATCATGCCTGTCCCCCTAATCATGCCTGTCCCCCTAATCATGCCTGATCACCTAATCATGCCCGTCCACCTAATCATGCCCTTCCACCTAATCATGCCCGTCGACCTAATCATGCCCGTACCCCTAATCATGCCTGTCCCCCTAATCATGCCTGTACCCCTAATCATGCCCTTCAACCTAATCATGCCTGTCCACCTAATCATGCCCGATCCACCTAATCATGCCCTTCCACCTAATCATGCCCGTCGACCTAATCATGCCTGCATTACCCCTAATCATGCCTGTCCCCTAATCATGCCCTGTCCCCCTAATCATGCCTGTCCCCTAATCATGCCTGTACACCTAATCATGCCTGTCCCCTTAATCATGCCTGTCCCCCTAATCATGCCTGTCCCCCTAATCATGCCTGTACCCCTAATCATGCCTGTCCACCTAATCATGCCTGTACACCTAATCATGCCTGTACACCTAATAATGCCTGTCCCCCTAATAATGCCTGTCCACCTAATCATGCCTGTCCACCTAATCATGCCTGTCCCCCTAATCATGCCTGTCCACCTAATCATGCCTGTCCACCTAATCATGCCTGTCCACCCACAATGCCTGTACACCTAATCATGCCTGTCCCCTAATCATGCCTGTCCACCTAATCATGCCTGTACACCTAATAATGCCTGTACACCTAATCATGCCTGTCCCCCTAATAATGCCTGTCACCCTAATCATGCCTGTCCACCTAATCATGCCTGTCCCCCTAATCATGCCTGTACACCTAATAATGCCTGTCCACCTAATCATGCCTGTCCCCCTAATCATGCCTGTCCACCTAATCATGCCTGTCCACCTAATCATGCCTGTCCCCCTAATCATGCCTGTCTACCTAATCATGATCTTCCACCTAATAATGCCTGTACACCTAATAATGCCTGTCCCCCTAATCATGCCTGTCCACCTAATCATGCCTGTCTACCTAATCATGCCTGTCCACCTAATAATGCCTGTACACCTAATAATGCCTGTCCCCCTAATAATGCCTGTCCCCCTAATCATGCCTGTCCCCCTAATAATGCCTGTCCACCTAATAATGCCTGTCCACCTAATCATGCCTGTCTACCTAATCATGATCTTCCACCTAATTATGCCTGCCCAATACTAACCCAATGCTAACCCAGAAGCCCTGCAGGGTCTACTACCTGTGGTATTGCAGTGAGGAGGGCCTTGATCTGAGGGGGCTTCCAGAACCCCTGGGACATGAACAGCCAGCCCTGCATCAGCCTGGAACACACAGCTACATGCATCAACTAAACACAAACCTCTCTGACAATCAACAAGGATGGTTAAGAGTAGGATATGCAATTTCAATGTAAGGATACTTATGCTGTAAATTAACTTATTCTGGCAAAATCTGACATTCTAATATATTGTACATTATTATAAAATGTAATTTTTAGAGTAAAACTGATATTTTATACTTATCCTGACTCATGCTTATTGCTTGTCTTCTTCTTCTTGCGAACATAGTGGAACATGTGTATCTCCCAATTGAAGTTCCCTTCAATTAAAAAATCACTAATTAGCACTCACCACGAGTTACCTCCCTTACACAAGCGCGGGAACGAAGGCGCCACCTCAACCCATGTGCCTCACTCTCTCCTCATATACTGAGCCCAACACTTGAATTTCCAGGGAAATCCAAAGTGTTATGTGGGGAGGATGGGAGGGCTTACCTCATGAGTCAGGATAAGTATAAAATATCAATTTTACTCTAAAAATTACATATTTTTCCTTATCCTGACTCATGCTTATTGCTTTTGTAGAATCCGGACGGAAAGGAGGTGGGAATATATAATACTTTGGATTTTAATAATTAGTGATTTGAACTGTGATGATTGTAATAACCCTATGGGAACTTCATAAAGGCACTGAACTGATGAATTCCTGCTGCTAACTTATCAGCTGCCATATAAAGGTTATTACAATTTACTTATTATGATAAAAGTATATATAACATTAATACAATGCTTAAGACTAATAGACTTAAGCTTGTTAATATGATAGCATAAACTCCTTAGAGTTTGTTAGCTAAAATACTTTTATGATATAAACATAGTACTGAGCTTAAGATATGATTAAACTTAAGCTAAATATATAATAGCAAAACTCCTTAGAGTTTATTAGCTAATATACTTTTATGAAGTAAACATAGTACTAAGCTTAAGATATGAATAAAACTTAAGCTATATATATAATAGCAAAACTTCGTAGAGTTTGTTAGCTAATATATTTTATGATATGAGTATAGTACTGTGCTTAAGATATAATTAACTTAAGCTACCTAAATAGCCAAAAACTCCGTAGAGTTTGTTAGCTATTACATTTTATAATGTAGCCATAATGCTTAAGATATGATGAAACTTAAGCTAAATATATAATAGCAAAAACTCTTTAGAGTTTGTTAGCTAATATACTTATATGATATAAACATAGTACTGAGCTTAAGATATGAATAAACTTAAGCTACATATATAATAGCAAAAACTCAGTAGAGTTTGTTAGCTAATACATGTTATAATGTAACCATAATGCTTAAGATATGATGAAACTTAAGCTAAATATATAATAGCCAAAAACTCTTTAGAGTTTGTTAGCTAATATACTTATATGATATTAACATAGTACTGAGCTTAAGAGGATGAATAAACTTAAGCTACATATATAATAGCAAAAACTCCGTGAGAGTTTGTTAGCTAATATATTTTTATGATATGAGTATAGTACTGTGCTTAAGATATAATTAACTTAAGCTACATATATAATAGCAAAACTCTGTAGAGTTTGTTAGCTAATACATTTATAATGTAACCATAGTACTGAGCTTAAGATATGATTAACTTAAGCTAAATATATAATAACAAACTCCGTCAGAGTTGTTAGCTTATATATTGTATGATATAATAACCATAGTACTGAGCTTAAGATAATAAAAGAACTTAAGCAAAATATATATAGCATGTAGCTATTTAGTACTGTTATAAGATAAGTAGAAATCTGTAAGATTGACTTATCTTCTCCGAGGAACTGTCAACTGTTGTGCGAGGACCATGGGACTGAATTGGTGGATACCTGAGACGTCCTCGGTGGTGATATCTCTCAGATAGTGGTTGGCAAACACCATATCGGATCTCCAGAATTAACCCTCCTTTATGGTATTTCAATAGCACTTGTCACGTAGAGCAAGTGTAGATGTTAGCGCTCTAATATGATGAGGATTAGAAGCTCTTGGAGGGTCGAGTCCTGCAGTCTTGTAGGCACGTAGTATGACAGTTCTGATCCAAAAGGAGATAGTAGTACGTGAGACTTCAGTCTGCGTAGCTTGTTGATAGAGGAAATAAATCTCTTGAATTTTTCCCTCCTGTTTGGCTCGGTGGAGATATATTTTCAGTGCTCTTACTGGCCATCGTGATAGATTCATCGTATCATGGGGTCCAAGTATATCATCAAAGCGTGTTCATAAACCTCACTTGTGAGGTGTTGGAGCACTATATTCAGATCCCAAGTTGGAGCGTGAAACTTCGCTTTAATCCTCCAATCGAAAGCTCGTAGCAAGGCGAAAGTAACTGGGTTTAGGTTAACTTGAGGCCCGTTCTCAGTTATGACAGAGCTATTACTGCAAGATAGGTGGACAAGTTGAGCCTTTTAAAATCTTAGTCTGACGTAGATAACATAAGTAGTCAGCCACTTGAGGATGAGTAGCATATCTAGCTGTAAATCCTTCCTTTGCAGCATAATTGACAAAACTGTGCCATTTGTCATCGTATAAGTTGCAAGTTGAGTTACGCAGGGCAAGCTAGACTGCTTTGCCGCTCTGGCTGAATAACTTGTTATTCAGACACGCCTTGATACAATCCATACGTGCGGATGTATTAACAGATTCGAGCACTCTGTAAGACGTAGTATTGGTTGTCCGATTTCTTGAATAAGAGTTGGAAACCACGTTCTCGCTCGTCAGTAGGCCGTGACCAAATTCAGATGGAGGCTCTGCGTTTGACTGATTTTGAGTAAACTTGTGAGATTAACGCTGGTGGCAGAAAAGCGTACGCGTTGAGTCCTTCCCACGATATGCTTAGTGCGTCTGTTGCCAATAGGGCTTCAACGAGTCCATTTTCTTGGACTCGAGTACTCGAGGGGTGAGACTCGACTCGGACCCGAGTACTCGAAATTCATACCTTTCAAACAAACGATAGCGTAACCGGCATGACATGTGTTCCGATCACACAAGTGAACACTTACTTCATTCCGACTTCATATCGTTGTGTGACTAACATTTCCTATTGGTCAGAATCCGTATTTGCATGTTTACTTGCCAAATGTTTTTTTTTCATCGTACTGGTTGTACTGCCTGCATAACGCAGTAATATACCGCACAGGCGGCATTTGGTTATTTTTCTCTTTTCACTATCCAGATCAAGACACACCCATACATTTGATTTTTTATCGTTCTCCATGTCTGTTAAGATAGTTACCTAATCATTTTAAGAAGTGAAATCTCAAACGATGTATAATAATTACTCTCATCTTGGCAGACTTGTAACAACTAATACCATACAGCCACAACTTATGAGGAGTAAACTACTTAATCTAGGCCTTAATAAAAACATTATTAGATGGGTTAAAGAATTCAGGGTACATAGAACTCAGTATGTCAGTGTCAATGGCTATCAATCTTCTTTCCTCTCAACCTCTACTGGAGCTCCACAGGACTGTGTTCTTTCATCCGTACTCTTCGTTTTGTATACCAATGACTGTTACTTGTCATTAAATGACTTCATTAAATGAAATTCGCAGATGACGCCACTGTTACTGGCCTAATTTCTGATTCTGAACCTTATTATCGTCAAGTCATTGACAAAACCGTAATGACAGTTTTTATCAAACCTTTATTCAAAGTGTGTTGACCTACAATTTTCTGTGTTGGTATGGGGCCTGTCTGATCGCAACAAAAACAAACTTTTCAAAATTGTTAATACTGCCGACAAAATTTCGAGTATATTCCCTTTATCTATGAGCGCCAGATTGTCAAAAAGGCAACTAAAATTAGATTTGATAGTTAACATATTTTATCTCACCATTTTGAAGTACTTCTTTCTGGACGCTGCTGTCGATTACCTTCCCTCAAAACAAACAGAGCTCGACAGTCTTTCATACCATCAAGTATTCGTGAATGCAACAAATATTTTGAATTATCACCATGTGATAACAACTAATATTATTCAGCCTTTTTACCTATGTGGTTAATTGAATTATATCATGTCAGTTTTATTGTGTAATTAGCTTTCGTTTTGTGCATGTAATTATTGTGTATATTTTTGTTAATTGTGTACATATTCATTTTGAGACAGTTTGGATGTATAAGAATTTCCTCTGGGGTAATATATTTATATCTTATCTTAATATTAGACGTTAACGGCCGCTCATGCTTATCACATGGCAGACAGACAGTCTGCCGTTGTAATCCAATAATTCGAGTTATCTCCCCTTTTCGAGTCCTCGAGTCCTAGAAAATGGACTCGAGTCCAGCTAAACCCGACTCGTCCTCGAGTACTCGAGTACCCGTGGAAGCCCTAGTTGCCAATGCTAGTGGGTCTGGAACTGGCGATACAAATGTTGTCAGTTGTTTGTTGAATCGAGTGGCAAATAGGTCTATAGTGTAGTTCCTATTTCCTTGATAATTTGAGTGAATATCTCTGTATGGAGCATTCATTCTGTCGGCGATGGTATGTGTGGCCGAGAGAGAGCGTCTGCTATCACATTCTTTGCTCCTGGAATGTGATATGCTCTGACATGTATGTTGAGATTGTCGATTAAATCGAACAATTGAAAACATAGAGTCGATAGGTTCGGGGACCTGGTTGAGCTTAGTTTGTTCACATAAAACGCCACTGTCGAATTGACTGTGTGAATCATCCACTGGGTATACTGTAGTAAGTTGCTCCAGTGCATTAAGGCGTTTATTACTCCTTGCATCTCTAGCAGATTTATGTGTAATTTGCTCTCTTGATTGCTCATAGCCCTGGCGCCCCGTCCTGTTGGCAAGATGGGCTCCCCAACCTTGTAGTGACACATCTACGAGAGAAGTGTTATCGATTCCAGCTCTATTAACGAGGCGCCTATTCAAACATTCGATCTCTTGGTCCACCATAGTAGATGAGGTTTGGCCTGAACTGGTAAATTGAGCGGTAGAGATTCGCGTCTAGATCTTGAATTGATGATGACTTGTAACGGATGTAATTGTAGTCTGCCTCTGCCTGTCATGTGTCTTGAGCTGAAGTCGCGTGAACCCCCAACAGGCTCTGCCACTGTCGTAGTGGTAGTAGAGATAGTAAGGCTTATGTAAATGACTGTTGGATCTTGATCCATGGTCCTCCGGGTACAATTATCACGATTCTGCGCCGTTACAAATCAAAAACCTAGAATTAGCAGATCTTGCGAAGGTTCTAGGTCCAACTTAAGTAGGTTTACTAACCATCTAGTTGTGTTAGTAGCTTGATGATGAATTCAACTGTAGTCTGAGACGTTATGGATTTGGATCCACTTGTATCCCGGGTCGTCGAGGTAAATTCCGCCATGAAGTCCTTTGGCGATGTAGGTGCACAACCAAAGGGTGACTGCCATCGTTGAACTTATGTAAAAACCCGCCTGACTGCCGTGCCCTCGTCCTTACTTGACAGGGAGGTCTCTAACCTCAAGAAGGCAGCCCAATCATGAAGGTTCAGATTAGCTGGACTGTAAGGAGGCTTGCTTTCGTTCACTGATATATTGTTGTCACTTGCAACCTATGTCTTGAACTGTGAACTATGATCGACCTCTGCGTAGAGGCGTTGTCCATCTCGGTCCAATCAGAACAAGGCATTTTGATTCTTTAGAGTACCCGCTGTGATGTCACCGTGTAGCAGGAAAAGGAACCTTGTATAATATAGTGCCGACGTTGATATTAGAACAATTCGGTCTTCCCGTAGCTTCCGAAGTTACCCGGTGACCACGTGTTTGAGGGTTAATGGTAAGCAGCGAAACCTCCGCGAAATACCTCGCTCTGTAATATTAATGCTGGGTAGGTTATTTTCCAGGCTGTCGTGAAAGTAACTTCAGTCTTGAAGATAATTCCGACTTCCTTATATAAGGTTCAATAAAACTTGCAAGTTGTCAGCTTGTAGACTGTTAAAGCTGAACTTGTTGTACATATTTCTTCTCAGGAAATCGTTGACGATTATGAGTTTTACTCGCTGTAACAAGGCTGCTGTTCAATTTCGTTATTGAATTGTCTGCAGATCTGCGTAATGGTCACGCATGTAGATAATCGTATCGTAGTCCGGGATTGCATACCTAGCAATCTATACGGAAATGTTGATTCCTGTGAAGGTCTACGAAATGTCGTTGATGCCCTTGATGTAGGTAGTCGGCTTGAAGAACCTTAATTAGGCTCTTCATCTGTTGATAAAATAATACAGCGACGTTCTGTGTTGTAAATAGCCTGTGCAATTGTCTTCGCGTAGGCTTGTAGACGGCATATGGCATACAGTTGATAGACAACTCATGCGATGTCTTGAACGGACTGACGAGTGGCTATATATGACGAGTGGCTAGTATATGGAGACCTTGGAGGAGACTTCCTCTAGATCTTCTGGGTGAAGTAGACTTGGACTTGGAGCCACTTAGCCTTCGCGACCTTTGCGAAAGTATCGAGTCAGAGTCCGATCAATATATGAGCGCTTGCTTCGTGAACGACCTCTGTGTTCTACAGGGTGTGGGCTCGGCGAAGCGCTCCTTCTCCGCGATGTCCCTTGCAACTGGTGAGGCTCTAGCTCCTTCGCGGAGGGGGCCTGGGACTTCCTTAGCGAAGTGTCTAGAGTCCGATCAATATATGAGCGCTTGCCCAGCGAAGCGACCTCTGTGTTCTTCAGGGTGTGGGCTCGCTAAGCTCCTTCTCCCGATGTCCCTCAATATATGAGCTTGCTTGCCGGAAGCCACCTCTGTGTTCTACAGGGTGTGGGCTCGTGGCGCTCCTTCTCCGCGATGTCCCTCGCAACTAGTGAGGCTCTAGCTTCTTCAGCGAGGCGCCTGGGACTTCCTTAGCGAAGTGTTCGCTACGGGCTGGGTTGCCCTTCGCGGAGGCGCGTTTGAGGGCTCTGGGGCCCTACGCGAAGCCAAGGCGGGCTCTCGGGCCCTGTATGACTTATTATGGGTTGGGCTCTGGGGCCCGTGGCTCTGGGGCCTCTGTAAACCGTAACGGTCCTCCATCAGTCTCATGATTTGGTTGACCAGGTTGTCTGAGATGGTCTGCGCTGGCGTTGAGGGTGTCCTCTCTGTGATAGTGACGGGATAGTGGAAGCTCTTCTAGTCTTAGACTGTGATGAAGGAACGTCCTGGGATGCAGGTCGCTTCTAGGATATAGCGGACTGCGTCCCACGCTTATCCCCCGAAGGTAACCCAGGATATATCTGACTCCGATCTATTAGCCATGACTGAAGATTGTTTCCGAGATTTATCTGCCTTCCGTCTTAAAACGGAACATAAATATTTATCAAAGGCAGAAATTGGTAAATTAATACATAATTTACAACGAGAAACAATAGAACATGGAGTAATGCAACTAGGGCATTTTAAATGTGGATCGGTAGCGGAATAAATTAGTTTACAACCTGTGCAGATTCTCATTAACGTAAACTGCTGAACAAACACGGCTAACCGTGAATAAAACAGCAGAAACACGACTAATAATCAATGCAAGTTGAATAAGGATACTAGTTACACCTCTATAAATGAATATAAGAGGTACTAAACTAAATATAAATAAAGGATATAGTGTGTCGGGATACACAGGTGCTCTCAGGTCCAGCTCACTGGGCGAAGAAGGAGAGAGTGAGGCACATGGGTTGAGGTGGCGCCCTCGTTCCCGCGCTTGTGTAAGGGAGGTAACTCGTGGTGAGTGCTAATTAGTGATTTTTTAATTGAAGGGAACTTCAATTGGGAGATACACGTGTTCCACTATGTTCGCAAGAAGAAGAAGACAAGCAATAAGCATGAGTCAGGATAAGGAAAAATATATATTTTCATTATATTAACACTGATGACATCATGGAAATATTGCACATAGTCAAATATCCTGTTCAGTAAACATGTATCACACCAAACATATATTGCACACTGTCAGAAACTGCGGGGGTCACAGCAACGGTGACACAATCCTTTATAGCTTCTAGGTACCAAAATACATATATATATCGATCTATTGCAGCTGTTTCCTTCCTCATATGCATGTGTATAAGACAAAGTCACATCTGGTTCATTAACTCACCAATTAAGGGCCTTCTGCATGTCCTAATTCCTTATGAGTTACGTATTGACACATTACTTTCGTACACAGTCGAACCCACAATTTGCACTTCATGTGCATCTCAATCATTTTGTGTAAGTTTTATGTACACCGTCATGTGCACAGTAAGGCCCAGTACGCGTGATTGTTTGGGGCATGCACAAGACTATGCTGCATAGGCTGTCACGCAGGTCATATGTTATAAATATGACGTGCATCGGTCTCACATTGGCCGAGCGTAATATGTGTTTGCTCTGTGTTTGTAGCTGGATAAGCGGTTTATACGCATCAATATGCTGATCTCACAGCATGAGATATGATCCGTGTATATTGGACGAATACATAGCGTACTTGCAGCGCAGATACAAAACACGCTGAACGAACTCCAAGTGAATGCTGACGTGTTTCACAAATCAGTACTGTTTGTCCTGCATTCGGGCAGCACGTTGTATTTGTAACTTATGACAAACGTACAGATAGCACACTTGCCGAACATCCAGGGTACACTCGAGATTTGGTAAAAATATGATGGCTCGGGGGGCCATGATGACAAAAGATTGATGTTCACGCTATAGAAATCTGCACTGGTAACGAAAACAGTGGGAAACAGCCGCCATTTTAATAAATCAGGAATATGCTTGGCATTCGTCGGAAGTACGTCAGGCATGCAGTCGGCATAAGTTGGGTGCGTCCGAAATACGTTTGGTATGTGCACTGCATAAGCAGCTATTTGCATCAAGAAATATAATGTTACGCACCTCACACGCAAAGGATGCGCTGACTTCGTTTTTTAAACGCAAGATGTGCATCACAGATAAGTCAAATACAGGAGTACGGGCTGCATATTGAATTTTTTTATAAGGAACTCATAAGCACTTGATATACGCAAAACTGTGACGGGCTGAACAGACAATGCTCTAGACACCCAGGTATATCCATCAAACTATCCTCCTTGTTCAAACTACGATTTGGCAGCTTGGTGTGTGAAAAAACCCGAAAGTAGTGCAAGTCTCATGTGATTACAGATTTTGTATATCCTTTGAGCATGTTATGGTGGTTACAAATTGGTAACAAAATCAGGTTGAAATAAAGGCCTGAGGCAATGATCATAGGCTTCTGGAACACCTAAGGGACACAACTCTGCACAGAGAATTGCAGCATCTTACATAACTGAGTCCTCTTCTACAACATGAACACCTGAAGGTAATAGAAGTGAAGGGAGATAACTCTCACCAGATAGCTTGAGTGTCGCCTGCCAACATTCCATTGTAGACTCCTTTAGCAGCTGAGGCCAAGTAAGCTGGGTCACTGACAAAAAGAACGACATTTTGGTTGATTCTATGGATCATTAATCTTGCTACATTTAGTAGATAAACTATGTGTTTTTCCTATCTGCAAGCAGTATTTGATGCCAAAACATTTAAATCGGAACAGACATAAAATCTGGGCATCAGGGAAGTGTGAAGCATTCAGGTCATACATCATGATCATAAACCCACATGTTAGCACTGCAACCCACTGTTTACCTATTAGGCCAGCAGGCAGGTGATGAACGGTGGTTCACACTTACATGTCACCGACATCAGTTGTCGGCATGGTGCACACCATGCTTTCTCTTGCTCAGTGTCATCAAATTTGTTCCATACTGCCGATAATCTATTAATTCACAGTAAACTATCTTCCAGGCAACTGCTTTCATTCAGACAGTTTATCAGTTAATCAAAACACTCCTTGGCGTTGGCTGTGAGGTGAGGTGAGGTGAGGTGAAATCGGGTTAAACATTGTACTTGAGAATATTTCGCTCATATGACGAGGTGCATGCGTGTGTATATGTATGTGCGGCTGCTTGTACTAGCCCAGACTTATACTGGTTTTATAGTGCTAGCTCACTGAGATACAATGCGTAAAAGCATGAATACCCTACTCAGACACATTATAATGTCTCGAGCCGACCAGTCCTTGTTGTACCCATTAATGCTAAGTGCCAGGTAGGGACCAACAAGAACCATATTTTAACGTCTTTTGGTATGACGTGGCTGGGGATCGAACAAGCAACCTTCCGCTCTCCGGGCGGACACTCTAACCACTACACCACGGAGGCGGTCGTGATGGCTGGAGGCTCAGTCTATAGCAGGCTTCATGTTTTACATTTCCAACTAACACAGAGGAGGAGTATATTAACTTCATCATTTTCATCACCCCGTGGAAAGACAACAATGGAGGCCAATCCTGGCTGAACTTACCTTGACTTTGGTGACATTTCATTGAAGGTGTCAGCATTGTAGATGTGGTCAACGCCAAATTCATATTCCATCTGTAATAAAATATAAAATTAATATGTAGCACCATGACCGTGGTAAATCTATGTTAAAATATGACAGTTAAGTTCACCATAGATTACCAATTGCCCAGTGGAATAGACCCCAGATCAATAAACTTCTTGTTGAAAAGTTTTCACTTATTTATGGTCAGGGTTGATTCTTGTTTAAAAGCCCCAAATATAATGAATTCAGAGTAAGTGAGTATGGTTCCACACCATTTTTATTAATATTCCAGCAATATCACAGCAGGGGAAACCAGACATGGACATCACACATTGTACTCATGTGGGGAATCGAACCTGGGTCTTCAGCATGATGAGCAGATGCTTTAACCATTAGGCTACCCAACCGCTCCAACGACTTCAGAAATTTTGCTACTTCTTTTTCTTTACAATGAACAAGATATGAGGCATGTCATCCATGAAAGTAAAAAATACACTGGTCTTGCCTCAAGGTATGATAATCCACAGAATTAACTGGTGTGACTTTTATCATTATTCTTAGCTAAGTGAATTAAGTAGAGACGAACATACCGCCTTGATGAAACTGCCACCTATCTTTGCAAACAAGGGGTCATTGAAATCCAGCAGATAGGTTCTGAAAATGATAGAGAGGATTATGAAACACATATATTTGAGAAATACAACAATGAGAGAAGTAGTCTGGTTTAAACAGTATTGCATTGGGAGTGCTGTTGTGCAAGCCCTAAGTATTCAGAAAATCTAGAGGTCTAGACCTATTCTGTACTACTGGCAAACAAGGATAAGTTGAGCACCGACCTGACAATTGACCCATATTAGCATGTATGAGTGCAGCCCACTGGTGCTTGCCATTGTTAGCGAAGGAGGCCCCAGGTTGTCCGCACTGAAGTGTAGTGTTACACCGATCGTGAGAGTCTTGTGAGCAAGGCATGTGCAGCTATGTGCAGAATCAATTTCATCGGCATGTAATGCACGTGCACTAGCATCTACTCTACCTTTCACAAACCAAATGGGTTTGCTCATTGCCGTGCACCGCCTACTTTTGTAAACGGGTTCTCTGCGCCGGTCCAACTTATCCTTGTTTGCCAGTAACGTCAACCCTAAGTCCTCAGATAATGAACAGCTCTATTTTCCATGGATTAAAACATTCAGCCTAAAAGCCCAGCTCTAAATCTATGTATTGACCTATTCTGCCCATGTGTCAACCCTATGTATACAGCCAATCAGCAGCTCTTGACCTATTCAGCCCTAGAGTCAACTCTAAATCCAACCCAATCAGGACCACTAGACCTTTTGACATCCAGGGCCCTGTTCCTCAATGCGATCGTAGCACCACGACTGTCGTAAGTCTATGTTAAAGTATAGGAGTTACGATCATCTTAGCGCTACGATCGCATTGAGGAATGGGGACCAGGGCTATCACCAGCAGTGTGACTGTTACCAGGTGATGCCACCATTTTATTACTTACTCGGAGTAGTTCTGACGGAAGTTGGACCATCCACCAAGCCTTGTGACATTAGCCTGGGGGAACACCCTGAAAATATACCACAATGACCTGATGACACTGTCAGCCTAAAATAAGTCAGAGTAAAGCAGAACAAATACATAGAAAAAGTCATGTGACATATTTTGATATACTCAGTTAAAAAAGTAACCATGCACCTTCTTGTAAATCATATTGAAACATTTTAGAGAGACAAAACTACAAAAGAAGTGGCCTGGTAGTTCAGTAGGATGTAGATAGATTAGCATTGTTTTTAAAAAGAAAATATAACAGATTCAAATTTACAATTTTGACTTGCAAGTTGTTTTTTTTACAAGCTTTTGCAAAAGGTCTGATTACTCCCTTTCCATCAGAGATGTACAGAAGATTCAGTGAGTGAGTTTAGTTTTATACCGCACTCAGCAATATTGCAGCTATATGGTGGCGGTCTGTATATAATCGAGTCTGGACAAGACAATCCAGTGATCGACAGCAGGAGCATTGATCTACGCAGTTGGGATATGATGACATGTGTCAACAAAGTCAGCGAGCCTGACCACCCGATCCTGTTAATCGCCGATCTTCATGGGTCACAGAAGATTCAGAGACCATATTCACAATTGTTATTATTCTACAGTCCCAGATAAATACAGCTGTGTTATGCTGCTAGCAACATGCTAGTATTGCTACATTCCCCACTAAAATATTTTCATAAATATACAAACAAATAAAATACAAAAAGTTAAAATATATGGGTTTTCTCTCTTACTAAAACCAAATTTCAACAAATTTCAAGCAGTAATATCAATGATGTTTTGCAGTGGTTGCAGAAAGCAAGTCTACCTACTTCACGATTATGGTACCTATTTGAAGAGACCCACCCACCTCATTATCATGTGAGAGACCATCTCACTCATGTGACAACGGTCATAATTACTTCAGAGGCTGTAATGGCTTTTAAAGTCATCATGTTTTAGCAAGTGAGTGCTTAACAGCTATCAGCATGTCAGTTGTATCATGTCGTGCCACCTCAATAGTAGATCAAAGTTTAAAGTGAAGTCATGGACATTTATCACTTTGGTGAAACTCGTGACAGGCCCAGGATCAATATCAAATGATGTTTCACACGTCGAACTCCAGCAAGATCAGAATATCCTGGTATTGTTAAATGCACACAGCCCTGCATTGTAAGGAATCCCGTGTCCAGTGGGCAATACATGGAGGATATTATATGAGTGCCCATGTCATACTATGTTTACGACACGAGTGCCTAAATGTTGGAATATCCCGGGCGAGAGCAAGGGATATACCGATATTTAGGCACGAGTGCTGTAACCATAGTATGATATGGGCATGAATATAATATTCTATTTATTACCGAAGTCGTCAAATAGCGGAAAATAAACCCAAAGCTACTTTCAAACATAGGCTGGCTACCCGCCACAGAAGAAACGTGACATCATATCATTGTTCATGATGTCACATCACCATGACAAAGTGACATTTTGCCCTCGTAGGTAATATAGAATGTTAATACATGGAAGATTTACATGGAAGATATAGAATGTTAATACATGGAAGATTTGAATAATGGCAACAATGGTTGATTAAGATCTGAACATGACTGAACTGACTGAACCAAGAATCCTTCAAGCACATCTGATATGATGAGCAGAGTGTGATACAGGAGGGACACCAACTGCACCCACCTTATAACGGCTACAGCAACTACACAAACACAAACTGCACCCACCTTGTAACGGCTACAGCAACTACACAAACACCAACTGCACCCACCTTATAACGGCTACAGCAACTACACAAACATCAACTGCACTCACCTTGTAATGGCTACAGCAACTACACAAACACCAACTGCACCCACATTGTAACGGCTACAGCAACTACACAAACATCAACTGCACCCACCTTATAACGGCTAGAGCAACTACACAAACATCAACTGAACTCACCTTGTAACGGCTACAGCAACTACACAAACATCAACTGCACCCACCTTGTAACGGCTACAGCAACTACACAAACTGCACTCACCTTGTAACGGCTACAGCAACTACACAAACATCAACTGCACTCACCTTGTAACGGCTACAGCAACTACAGAAACACCAACTACACCCAACTTGTAATGGCTACAGCAACTACACAAACACCAACTGCACCCACCTTGTAATGGCTACAGCAACTACACCAACTGCACCCACCTTGTAATGGCAGCAGGAACATGGCCGGCAAACCCAGGCAGGACTGGAGTGATACCAAGTGACCTCATCCTTTTCAGAATCTTGTGTTGGAGTATCAGCCGACCGTCTATCCAGGTTTGGGGCAATGGGCCTCCCCAACCATGTATATTTCCCATTCTGGCCCTAACAAATATAGAATTTAACATGGAAATAAATTTCATGATGACTTCAAGGCAAACATGACACTTAATTAGATTCAGGCCTTTCTTAATAAATTTAATTTGGGGGCATTTTTTTCTTTCATTTGAATAGGAAAATTCACAACTAAACAGTAGTTAGACAAAGAGGGCATCTAAAGACACACTTTCTACACTTCGAAGAGAACAGTGCAGACATTATACACATTAGTTCATGAAGTGCATTAGATGAATGACCATTGATTACACGGTGTATGACAACAAGGTCTGCCAAGTCTGATCTTGTCTTACCATGCTAGAAATGCTGGTCCACCAAAGTGTGACGCCATGTCCTCATTAGTGAAGCCCATCGCCATGTACACCTGTAACAACACGAGGCACATTCACTGAAGTAGAACAAGTACCATTCACTGAAACAAAACCAGAACAAGTAGATGCCTTGTAAGGCATTAAGTCTATCTACTACTTGAAGACAGCCTCCTGTGAAGGCCTATGGGAGGTTGATGTTTGAAAGGCTACCCAGTCTACCTACCCTCTGGGACATGGCCTCCTGCCCCGTGAAGGCCAATGTCAAATTTGATGGTCATCAAGGTTTACTTGCACAATGCGACATAAGTTGTACAGCAATAAATAATTCCATATGTTAACATAGACTTACAATAGTAATATCACAAAGATCACTTTGTGCAAGTGGTGATAGGCCATCATATCTATCTATTCTTTGGAAAATGATCTCCTGTCCCGAGAAGGCCAATGGCTGGTTGATGCTTATAAGGCCATCCAGTCTACCTACACTCTGGAAGATGGCCTCCTGTTCCGAGAAGGCCAATGGCAGGTTGATGCTTACAAGGCCATCCAGTCTACCTACCCTCTGGAACATGGCCTCCTGTCCCGTGAAGGCCAATGGCAGGTTGATACCCTGTAAGGCCATCCAGTCTACCTACCCTCTGGAATAAAGCCTCCTGTCCCGTGAAGGCCAATAGCAGGTTGATGCTTACAAGGCCATCTAATCTACTTACCCTCTGGAAGATGGCCTCTTGTCCTGTGAAGGCCAATGGCAGGTTGATACCCTGTAAGGCCATCCAGTCTACCTACCCTCTGGAACATGGCCTCCTGTCCCGTGAAGGCCAATGGCAGGTTGATGCTTACAAGGCCATCTAATCTACTTACCCTCTGGAAGATGGCCTCTTGTCCTGTGAAGGCCAATGGCAGGTTGATACCCTGTAAGGCCACCCAGTCTACCTACCCTCTGGAACATGGCCTCCTGTCCCATGAAGGCCAATGGCAGGTTGATACCCTGTAAGGCCACCCAGTCTACCTACCCTCTGGAACATGGCCTCCTGTCCTGTGAAGGCCAATGGTAGGTTGATACCCTGTAAGGCCACCCAGTCTACCTACCCTCTGGAAGATGGCCTCTTGTCCCGTGAAGGCCAATGGCAGGTTGATACCCTCTAAAGCCACCCAGTCTACCTACCCTCTGGAACATGGCCTCCTGCCCTGTGAAGGCCAATGGCAGGTTGATACCCTGTAAGGCCATCCAGTCTACTTACCCTCTGGAAGATGGCCTCTTGTCCTGTGAAGGCCAATGGCAGGTTGATACCCTCTAAAGCCACCCAGTCTACCTACCCTCTGGAACATGGCCTCCTGTCCCGTGAAGGCCAATGGTAGGTTGATACCCTGTAAGGCCACCCAGTCTACCTACCCTCTGGAAGATGGCCTCCTGTCCTGTGAAGGCCAATGGCAGGTTGATACCCTGTAAGGCCACCCAGTCTACCTACCCTCTGGAACATGGCCTCCTGTCCTGTGAAGGCCAATGGTAGGTTGATACCCTGTAAGGCCACCCAGTCTACTTACCCTCTGGAACATGGCCTCCTGTCCTGTGAAGGCCAATGGCAGGTTGATACCCTCTAAAGCCACCCAGTCTACCTACCCTCTGGAACATGGCCTCCTGTCCTGTGAAGGCCAATGGCAGGTTGATACCCTGTAAGGCCATCCCGTCTACCTACCCTCTGGAAGATGGCCTCCTGTCCTGTGAAGGCCAATGGCAGGTTGATACCCTGTAAGGCCATCCAGTCTACCTACCCTCTGGAAGATACCCTGTGAAGGCCAATGGCAGGTTGATACCCTGTAAGGCCATCCAGTCTACCTACCTCTGGAAGATGGCCTCCTGTCTACCCCTACCTACCCTCCCTCTGTAAGGGAAGGCCTCCAATGGCAATGGCAGGTACCCTGTAAGGCCATCCAGTCTACCTACCCTCTGGAACATGGCCTCCTGTCCTGTGAAGGCCAATGGCAGGTTGATACCCTGTAAGGCCATCCAGTCTACCTACCCTCTGGAACATGGCCTCCTGTCCCGTGAAGGCCAATGGCAGGTTGATACCCTACAAGGCCTAAAAGGCCACCCAGTCTACCTACCCTCTGGAACATGGCCTCCTGTCCTGTGAAGGCCAATGGCAGGTTGATACCCTGTAAGGCCATCCAGTCTACCTACCCTCTGGAAGATGGCCTCTTGTCCTGTGTGAAGGCCAATGGCAGGTTGATACCCTCCTGTAAGGCCACCCAGTCTACCTACCCTCTGGAACATGGCCTCCTGTCCTGTGAAGGCCAATGGTAGGTTGATACCCTGTAAGGCCACCCAGTCTACTTACCCTCTGGAAGATGGCCTCTTGTCCCGTGAAGGCCAATGGCAGGTTGATACCCTCTAAAGCCACCCAGTCAACCTACCCTCTGGAACATGGCCTCCTGTCCTGTGAAGGCCAATGGTAGGTTGATACCCTGTAAGGCCATCCAGTCTACCTACCCTCTGGAAGATGGCCTCTTGTCCTGTGAAGGCCAATGGCAGGTTGATACCCTGTAAGGCCACCCAGTCTACCTACCCTCTGGAACATGGCCTCCTGTCCAGTGAAGGCCAATGGTAGGTTGATACCCTGCATGGCCATCCAGTCAATCTCTCTCTCCCATCTGGTCCAGTCCCACCAGGCGAAGGAGTAACTGACTGTACAAACGTTCTGGTAGTACCGAAACCTGCAAGTGATGGAGCATGTTAGACATACAGTTGTCTTTTCTACCCTGGAGCATATGCACAATTATCCATGACTGTTCATAGTTGAACATTTTAATTATTCCTCATCCCAACAACCCTTTATTCTCACCAAACAACCACAACAACAATACCAACTGATTGTTTTAATGAGTACATGCTATTTTTTGGTACCAAGCCCACAAGTTTTGATGGAAAATGAACAAATAATGCTTTAATCAAAATCAAAATTCTACCATTGCTACTCACTGATCATTGGAAGTGACTGTTTTTCCAGGAGATGCAATGGCTGGGAGCACCGCAGGCAGGGCGACCTGTTGCCCCGCCCAGGTGTACTGTCCCCCACAATAGTACTTGAGGTAATAATAGAAGCCCATGGCAACCGCCACACCACTGGTCCCTGTGATGGACAGCTTGACGCCATTTGACACCAACTGCAAGAAATCAAGATTAACATACAAGGAAACCATTTGATAGCTGACAGTGGGTAATTTACAAATTATTCTGAATACATACATCATTATCTAATTATGTCTGTCCTCTAGACTCTAGAGAATCAATATAAAAAGGACTCCAAGTCTAGTATGATTTGGCAAGTCTAAATTGCCTCAGCATGAAATTAAGGATTGGACCTTTGGTCCAGTTGGATTTGTTTTCATTTTGTTGATATATATTATTAGATAATATAACTTTATTTCTGTGACTAATAGTCAGTTTATTAAAATGTGTCAATATCTCTCAAGACAATATTCCATGGTCGATTGTTATTACAGCAAGTTGGTTGAATAGCATCATCAAACAAATGGGATCCTCCTGTATACAAGAGTTACCTACCTTGAATGTGTCCCTGTTCTTCGGCCCTATACTGGGATCCACCGAGACCAGGAAGTCAGAAGACCTGTTACCGATGACCCTTGAGATGAGGTCACCTGCAGCTGTTGACTGGACATCATATGGCGTCTTGCTCCGTATATGATTCAGGGTAGAGAACTCTGAATAACATTGAAGAACTTGCTTCATAGCATTCTCTTCCCACAGAGGTTACTCCTGTCATATCTTCCTACATAACCTCTGTTTTAATACGGCCATATTTCCCGGTCCTCGTAAAATCCCCTAGCAGCAAAAGATCGCAACACAAATTATCTCCCTTCTTTCTATCCAATCAGAACACGTGTTACATCGACTTAGATTCAATTTGACTAACACAAGCAAATGCGGGGCCACAAATATCCCCCATCTGCCGGGGAATTGTGTTGATGTTACACACAAGACGTTTAATGGCTAGCTTGTCCGTTGTCAACGAGGGCGATGGAGACGCCATTGATACGCCATTACATGACTGAGTTCTGTCTAGAAGAAACGTTTGCGCATTGCGTTCGGGAAGAGGTTCTAGTTTTCCCGAAGCATACGGAAATTACAGAGGTCTTGCGAATGATCACTTTTGAAACAACGTCACTGATTGCACAACTAAATCGGCTTGTCTCCAATCACGAGCCTTGAACGCTGACACCAAGAAAGGGTCGTATTAGAACAGAGGTTATGTAGGAAGATATGACAGGAGTAACCTCTGTGGGAAGAGAATGGCTTCATAGAAACAATTTGGGTTTTGACATACAAATGAAAAGCAATGGAGCTACAGAGGACACACCGTGACATAACTAAAATACTCTCTAACGCAGCATCCACCTTACTCACCTCAGGTGGCAAGCGTGCATTTTATAAGGGGAGATAAAAATTATTGAGAAATAATCAGAAACATATTACACTTACATACTGATGGTATCAAAACATCTTATAACATATTTTATATTGGGGATTACACTTTCTCAGTAAAGTACAGATTCCAGTACTTTTGTTGGGTTGAGTCCCATCCAGGATTCAGGCACCTCATCGCCAGCACACAAAGTCAGCCGCCTAACCCGCAAAATCAAAGTCGGACAACTGGTAGTCAAGACTGTGGACTTTGTGTACCCCTCTGATAAGTGTAAATTGGCACGGCTCCCACGGCCAAAAGCTATGATTACACAATGCCATTTAGAAAGTAGTCAAATGTAACATATGTTATATTTGAGATTACACTTTCACAGGCTGACTCTGAGGGTGTGGGTTACATTTGACTACTATCATTATGATACACATGCTGAATTGATAATGAATATGACAAAAGGACTCCTGGCTCACGACAGATACAGGTATAAATCAAACAGCAGCAGACATTCTCATGTGACTGACAACAGTGTCCTGAATGCCTTCTGACAAAACATCAGTAAGTAAAGAAAGATTGGTGATAATTACCTCTCCCACAAGAAAGATGAACATAGATGATGAACAAAATCAGCACCTGTAACAAACATGAACAGATGTGTAAAAATATCGACAACTGGCTTGATTACATCCAGACTCAACAGTTTGCAGTCTAACATTATTGAGTTTGAATATTTGAATATTTATGCAATCATTGCTGCATTATTTTGACTACTCAGTTAAACACTTATCTCAGTAACTCTTCCACAGATATCTGTTCAGTGAGTGAGTGAGTGAGTTGGGTTTTACGCCGCACTCAGCAATATTCCAGCTATATGGTGGCGGTCTGTAAAGAATCGGGTCTGGACCAGACAATCCAGTGATCAACAGCATGACCATCGATCTGCGTAATTGGGAACTGATGACATGTGTCAGCCAAGTCAGCGAGCCTGACCACCCGATCCCGTTAGTCGCCTCTTACCACAAGCATAGTCACCTTTTGTGGCAAGCCTGGGTTGCTGAAGACCTATTCTACCCCGGATCTTCACAGGTTGATATCTGTTCAGACACAATGGTGACCCAGTGGTGAAAGAGTTGATTTCACTCTGTTTATTAGCGATATTCCAGCCTTATGGCCAGGCTATAAATAAGGTATGATGTCTTTCAGTGGCATTTAGAAGTTGTACATAGATGTCCAAGATATTTTTATGGATTAAACTTCTTTTTATTTCCCTCATAAAAATATCTTTGACATATAAATAAGGTAGATCAGACAAACCAGTCACAAATATTCTGAGAAATGCCAAACTTGATCTTGTTGTGATGACATCCATTCTATCAAGTCGTCACATTCAGTCCATGGTATCACCTAAGGCAGCTTCAGTTGCTGGGGACTAATTCTAACTTGGATTTCCCTGGGTCTAAGACTTAAAATTTAAATCATACATGTTGATGTTTGAAATTCATGCTAAAATGTGACCCCTGAATTCAATAACATTGAGTGAGCATGGTTTTACGCCACGTTTAGCACTATTCCAGCTATATCACGGGAGAGGACACAAAAAATTGGCTTCACACATTGTACGTATGTGGTGAATCAAACCCTGGTCTTTGGTGTGACGAATGAATGCTTTAACCACTTTGCTACCCCACCACCCCTTAAGAATATTGTACTCAAATAAATATTGTTGCTCCAGTTTCCATGCAACATGTTTTTCAAGCTAAATAGAAGCCCTGTCTAATTACAACACCATTTTCTTGGTATGTTTTAGTTTATGATATATAATCACATTTTTTGTGTATGTCATGGTTTATCATATTGTTAGAGCATTATAAGCTCAATGAGAGACACCATTCCACTCACACAGACAGATCATTGATCTAATCCTAAAAAGTTTAAACCTAACAGGAAATTTATGGACACCTAAGTAAAGAATGAAGCATACAACTTTATCGATAACAACTTCTGGTTTATTGCATTGAACAACGTGTTCGTTGTGGATTGGATCGCAAGCTAAAAGTAATTGGCTTGACAACAGTGTAAGAATCCACACCAAAACGTAACCATAAAGCTGTGTGCTTCATTATTCACTCAACAACTTCTAGAATGCCAATCAAACATTCACCTCGGTCTAGATCCTTAGCACTACAAGTACAACTACAGAAAGTGTGTCTTATAGTTTGTGAGCTATAATCGGCTTAGTGTTATGACATTTGGGATGTGGAAGTTCTGGGATATAACCTTGTTGTGTTAGTCGGTGTTGATGTATGCAAATTACAATGATTAAAAGAGACCATAAACACAACTCAGTCACAGAAAACGGCACCAGGAGAAAACGGCACTATATGGACATATCAACCTCGACTTACAAATCTAGCAAACCAATGAAAATGATTAACCTTTTTGAAGCACCAAATAAAATCCTAATTATTGGGAACATCTTATTTGTCATTATTTGTCATTAGATAATCTGAATACAGAATTTTGGGATCTACATCTGCCGACATAAAAGCTTATCATCTTTTCACAATTAGGGCAGGGATCAGTCACATGAAGCTTTTCTATGGAATGTGAAATATGATACAAAGCAATAGATTTATTTTCACACTTTTACCATATCTATTATGCTATCTATGATAACTGTCACTTTATCTCCGTAATATCAGATTGCAGCTGACCTGAGGTCAAAGTTCCTGACTTACCTACTCAATCCTGATATTAGTTCAGAACTATATCCTGATAAAAGAAATATCGAGCACATCCTCATAAGAAGCGCTACAATTCAAAGCAAAAAGTTCTGGAGGAATCATATGCGTTTATTCACATTTGGTTTACTTGCAGAAACAAACAGAACCGTCTGTTCTTATGCATCGATCGCATCACGAGTTATACATTCAATAATGCAAAAAGCTCAGATCAGCTGACATGATTTTAGCCAGTGCCCTCGTTTTGAACATCGTTCAGACAACGCTGTAAAGATGCATCGAGAAAAAAAATAACTGCTGCTGCTTTGGCATTATCCTCATTCAACTGACCTTCAAAGCTGTCATGTTTCTAGCTCTGTGACATCGCCCGTTGGACTGAAATAAGGACACAATTCAGATAACGTTCTCTGTGTTTAGGTTCGTCGTCGACCGGTGCTTGATCACGTGAACGCAGTCATGTGATTTACAGTTGGGTCAAAGTTCAAACCGGATCGACTTCGGGAAATACCAGCAAACACGTAGAACACATCGTGGATCCTTTCAAGATTCAGTCAATTTGTCATTATCCCGTACTCGCCTGATTACGCATGTTTTATCACAAACACTTCACATACTTCCCGTAAGCGATGAGAAAACCACAATTATTCGACTTTGTCCAGGTGAGTTTTAAAGTAAAAAATATGAAAATTGGAAACATTTAAACCAGGGAGACTATATAAGGTTGTAGAGTATCCCTGTTTAAACCTCCGATGCAGTGGGAGGCCTTTCATTATGTAAAAAAAAATGCCTATTTCATTTCCGTATTTAGTTTTATTTATTTACTTCGTTCGGGTAGGGAGTAATGATAAGGTGTTTGAATGTGTATGTCTTATGCAGGGACGCACAGTTGTCGGCTCGAGTATTACGGCCAGGTACGTTTCTCTATACTTAAGAAACGTACCCTAGCCAAAATCTGAATAAAGAAATGTACCCTAGGACGGGTCCATTCTGTATTGTGTCGGGTTCTTGATCGGAACGGTTATACCGTTGTATTATATAGCTATATTTGATTGCGTTATGTAACTTCATAAGAAACGAGCATACACAGTAACAAATAGTTTGCGATGCACAAGGCCACTCGTACCCTCTACACAGGTACCCTAAGGGGCGCATCCAGGGGGAGGATGCGAAAAACATATTCCCTAAGGAGCAGCTCAGATCAAATTCTTAGTGTAATCCGCCATTGCTTGACAAGTCCTACAAGCTGCGTAAAGTAAAACTCGATCAATTAAGAGAACTGCTTTCAGACGTGTTCCATATCACTATAAGTATTATTGACCTCCCTGGCGTAACTCGTTACAACCTCGCAACACGCATGGCAGACTAACGCCGAATATAGATAATTTTGATATATACATATAAACCCATTTAAATTGAAAAGGAGCCCCAGTGAGTTGGGAAGATTCGGGAACCTGGGGAAATGTAGACTTGCTTCATTCAGGGCTTTAGCATTGCAGTTACGACTAGGAAGGGAAATAATGTGCAACCTATGTTATATTTGGGATTACTTTCTTAGTAAATTACAAATTCTGGAACTTTATGTGGTTCAGGGACTGTGAGACAGACTCCACTCATGGTTGTTGAATGTTTAACACAAGGTATACTTAAATGTCTTCAGAAAATAAGATGTTGTAATCGTGTTTTGAAACCGACTATTTTGTTTGTTTGTATATGTTTGGATTTCATAGACAAACAGCATCAGATCTTATACAAGTTACAGTTTACCATCACAAGTGAATTGGTACCAAAGGTGCAAAAATACAACAAACACGAAATTACAAAGACGTTTTTCGATCCTTTTGTCCGTCGAGGACGGAGTTCCATGCTTCCCGCTCGTGTCCGCTTTGTAAAGATATTTTTTCTCACTGATCAACTCTTCATTCAGAAGAACAAGGCTGGACAAGGTGTCGGACATATCGTAGCAAACCATCCAAGGACTGACCCTCGTGTACAGATGGTTACCCATGGTTTCATCCTATACCCATGCAGATCCTGGTTCAGCAAACCATGCTTGTCGCCCCCGACCCTCCACCTACCTTTGAAAGTTTCTGGATCCGCCTTTGACCTGGAATAATTATGTTACGCCAGCAGTGCCTTAGTTATGTTAAGATGGTAATATCAACACAGTCAGATCTAGGTCTGTAGTTGCTGGTAGTCAGTGTCATTCATGTGGTGGTCGTTGTGGGAAGAAATCCCGGAGTAACGTAAATATGTATTTAAAACAGCGCAGGGTGGTGCCGACAGCCAGGGGATCAAAATGAGATTTGAACCCATAACCAGCTGATCCTGTCACC